GCTGTCCGCCGTAGAGGTCGGCGAATTCAGCACGCGCTCCAGGTGCTCCTCGCAGCGGCGCACCCACTCCTGCACTTCCGCGGCTGCGACGTCGTGGCCGTGGAGAGGGTTCAAATTCATGCCCTCGCAGATGGCCTCCTCGAGCGTGCTTCCCGCATCGATCTCCGCCTTGAGGGCGAGGTACCGATCGCGGAGCACGCCCATGGAGCGGAACAGTGCGGCGTCGCGCTCCTGCGCCGCGGGCTCGGTCTCCTCCAGCAGGTAGGCGCCCCTCTCCAGCAGGTTGCCCATCAGCCACCGCCCGTAGCGGTCGCCGTCCCCCGCGGCAGCCGCGTTCCACTCGCGGAACCTGGGCAGCGACACCACCTCGCTCCAGCGCTCGCGGAGGTGCACGGCCGGCGCATGCGACCCTCCACCGTACACGTACTCGGTGCAGGAGACGTTGGCCAACACCCCCGCCTGCGGCTCCAGCTGCGACGTCGCCGGGACCACAGGCGGGGACATGGCTATTGGCGGCGGCTACAGTCGGTCTGCAGGCGCAGGGCTCGGGCCATCCCAATGCTTCTGAGCCCAAACGGCTACGGATCCTAGAAAAAGTACGCTAAGAAACATCGAACCAAGATCATCTTAGGGGAGCAAAAAGTGTCATAAACATAACAACTCGGAGGTCCGCGCGGATTTCTCGGATCTGCGCTGGGGCCCCCCGGCGGCGCCTCCGGCGCCGCCCCTGGCGCCCTCCGCGCGCCAGGGAGGGGGGTCCAGCGCCGACCCGAGAAATCCGCGCGGACCTCCGAGTTTTTATGTTCATGCCACTTTTTGCTCCCCTGCACCTCCCCACCCACCTCTGCACTCTCCCTCATCGGTACGTGCCGTGTGACGTCTTCATCGACGTCGCCGCGGGCCTCGTGTTGGCGGGCGAGGCCCGCGCCCGACCCCCGGCGGTGCACGCCAACGTCTGATCAGGCAGGCCCCGGGGGGGATCCCGGGAGCCCTCCAGGGAGAGCCAGTGTCTGCAGTGACCTGGCCCGTGTCACCCGGAAATGTGTGATAACACGCTGCTCGACATTCCACGACTGGCCCCCCCTTGTCGAATCTGCACTGACACCTGATTTCTACGCACACACCCCTCCCGCCCCCGTGCAGAAGCGAGCTGTCACGTCCAGACGTCCACCCTCCCTGGGGTCGAGCAAAAGGCGTGCCTCCCAGAAAGTACCCACCACCTATTATTGTGGAGCGCAGATGAACAAAACTGGGCTCCCAGGAGCCAGACCGAGACGAACTCCACGCTTGCCCGCCAAACGTTGGGAGCCCCCTCCGAGCCCCGTCAGAAGCCTGAGGTGGGCCTGGGCTCGCAAGACTCGTGACCCGAGCGGCGGCGAAACAAGCACAGCGAGAGCATCCACCCACGAGCGGGCCCTCCTGCACCTGGAGCTTGACAAGGGCATGCGACTTGGATCCAACACTCAACTTGGCCTGCGCGGCCAGCACGCTACTCACGACATCGTTGGGAGTGGGATCACGGACGAGGGCCGACTGGGTCTGAGGGGGCTTCCCGCAGCCGTCGAGCTCGTCCCCAAGACGCCCAACCCATGAGCCCCACACCTTGAGGACCTTGTGACGAGCCTGCAACAAATCAGTTGCAACATCAATGGCACGCGCGAAAGCAACAACACTTTGGCAACCTCGTCGGTCTTAGCATTACCGTAGCGGTGGCGTTCCGTGGTACGCCTGGGCTCGACGTCGACAGCGGTCGCATGCCCCTTGATCTTAAAGACTTCTAATCCGCCCCAGTCCTCCACCAACCTCCCAAACTCCTTCCACAGATGAGCGTGCGCGGAGGTGCAAAAGGTGGTGGCTTCTCGTCCTCTTTCAGAGAAGCCATCGGCAACAACCACAGAGTCTGTGAGCACTCTGGCTGGCGGGGTCGCGAAGCGTAGCACCTGAACCTGAATGACGACAAAGGGCTCAGCAGCATTGATGCACTGCAAAAGGACCAGCAGCAGCCCAGAACAAGACGACAAAACCTCACGACTGTCTGAGTGAAGCACCACGCCCCCCCATCCAGCACTGGCTAAGCTAAGATACTCGGCTTCAAACATGGGCCCGCCAGTGTACATGTCTCCGCTGGACTCTGAAGGGCCTCCACCCCCCCAGCAAGCTGGAGGCCATGGAGGCGGCCGACTCAGAGCAGGGAAAGCAATCATGCATCTCTTTCGGCAAAAACAGTGGCTAGCGCAGAGTTGGCAGCAGCAGCTGCGGCCCTGGAACGAAGAGGCGGCATATTCTCCATGACGTCGAGCCTGGAGCAGGAACAATGCCCTTGGCCCAGCGTGCCTTCGGCGGTGGGGCGTGACAAAGACGTGACGGCGTGTTGTCGTACCCCAAAGCCCACTGCCGCTTCTGAGGCCACTCCCACGATGGTGCTCCTGAGGTGGGCCTGCTGCACAGCGGCGAGCTTACTCTTACTACCCAGCAAGGCCTTCGGGGGGCCGATGAGCACACCACTGGAGAACTCGGGAACCTCGAGATGCTCAACCACTCTGTCATACTGTCAAATCTCGACGTCCCTGTAAACGAACTCTTGGATGGTGACGGGGCAGAAATCGGACGGGTTGACGTCAACCCCATCGGGCCAGATCCAAGATGTAGCGGAGGTAGCCGTGATAGTTACACGCCTGAGACGAGGCCTACAGAGCGCAGAAGGATTTTTTGAGGGGGGACCAGGGGCCCCTCCACCTCCCCCTCCCCCTCCCCCTCCTCTTCCTCCTCCTCCTCCTCCTCCTCCGCCTCCTCCTCCTCCTCCTCCTCCTCCTCCTCCGCCTCCTCCTCCTCCTCCTCCTCCTCCTCCTCCTCCTTAGGAAGGGGAAAGGAGGGGGTGTCCAAGAGTAGCACACCGGTGGCAACACAACCCTCGACACAGACAACCTGCAGCGGAAACTGGGTGCGAAACAACCTCTGCTGGCATCTGTGCCAGCCGCTCCTCCTGTTGTTGCCCTTTTTTTTCCTCCTCCTCCTCCTCCTCCTTCCGAAGCGTCCTCTTGCTTCTCCTGCTTCACCCTTCACCCCCCCTCCTCCTGCTTCTTCAAATTCTCCTGCTTCTCCTCCTGCTCCTCTCGACCCCTCTTCCTCTCGACCTCCTCTTGCAGTCCTCCTCCTCTCCTTCACTCCTCCTCCTCCGCCTCTTCCTCCTCCTCCTCCTCCTCCTCCTGCTCCTCCTCCTCCATGTGTCCCTCCCCCTTCTCCTCCTCCTCCTCCTCCTCCTCCTCCTCTCGACCCACCCCCCTCCCCGCTTCCTCCGCAGAGAGCCCCGCAGGAGCCCCGCAGGAGCCCCGGCGCAGCGGGCAAGCGCCGACGCCCCGCCGGCGAGCGGCGGCGGCGCGGCGCCGCGCTGGGCGCGGCGCGGGGCGGGCCTCGGAGGCGCCGAGGGGCCACGGGTCCCCGCCGCCGGAGGCCAGCGGGCGGCAGGGCCGCGCCCGGCCCGCCGGCTCGAGCCCGGGGCCGGCCGCGGCGCGAGCACGGCGCGTGTGGTCGCTCGCCTCGCGCGCTCCCTCCGTGAGCCCTCTCGCGCCCGCCCGGCGAGGAGGGGGAGCGGCAGCAGCGGGAGGAGGAGGAGGAGGAGGAGGAGGAGGAGGAGGAGGAGGTCCTTCCCTCGCCGTCCTCGAGACCACTCTCGCGGGTGCTTCTAGGCTTCTTTCGAGATCCCCTGAGACCCCGGCAACAAAGCATCGGCCCGCACTGTGACCTTCTCACGCTCAAGAATTACCAACCCTCATTTCTCTCCCACGTACCCTCTCCTCGAATCCCCACGGGGCATGGCAACCGCTGGGGCACAGGCAGATGCGACTGCCTCGTGCCATGAGTCCTCTGGGCGCGACGGAGGCGCTCGAGAAGGGCGTCAGTGCGGTCGTGAACGTCTCGGAGAGTAGCAGCAAGCGAACTGGCCCACTCCTGGAGGGTTTGCACTGCCCTGCCGCCGCACCAGCTGCAGCAGCGGCAGCGGCCAGAGAGCCGGGGGCGCGGCTGGAGCGCTGAGGCAGACGGGGGGCGTCTGGTGGCCCTGGAGCCACGGGGGCCCTGGGGCCCTTCTTGACTCGGGGGCCACATGTGAACCCTACCCCTACCCCCCACCGATTTCTGAAGGGAGGGTGGGGTTCACTTCGCTCGGGAGCTCCCGAACGAAGTGAAACCCACCCTCCCCCTCGGAAATCGTTAGGGTAGGGGTAGGGTTCACATGTGGCCCCCTATTGACGCTCCTTGACAAAACCACCCGGGTCTTCCGGACCTCTGCGGATCCCTCCCAACCCGTGCAAACGGCCCACTGGCGGTGCCAAGAGGCCCCCGAGGCCGTCCAAGAGGGCCCCGAGACGTCCCAGGAGCCTCCCAAGAGGGACCTGGGTGGCCGCAAGACGGCCAAAGAGGCCCCCGAACGCCCCAAGACGCCTTCTCAAGGACTCCGTAAAAGCAAACATCGTTCCATTCCCCGATGGAAGACGTACATGTTTTGCATACACTTTTTTTCAATATTCGCAGCGTCTAAAGACCGCCCAAGAGGTCCCCGACATCACCCCAAGGCGGCCCAAGCAGCCCCCAAGAGCGCACCCACACGTCACAAGAGGGCCCCAAGACTGTCCAAGAGAGCCCCAAGACGCCCCCAAAAGGCTCCCAAGACGGCTTCCAGAAGGCCAAAAGGACCCTCCTCAAGGCCTCGAGAGGCCATACTCATTGACGGCCCAACAAGCCCCCAACATTGCCCCAATGGTAGGCCTTCAAGAGGGCCCCCCGACGGCCCAAGAAGGCCTCCAGACGGCCCACTACCTCAGCGACTTCCGAAGACCTCCTCTTGGGGAGGGCCGTTCATCCCGACAGAGCACGGCACACGATCGAAGTTCGAGGTGCGACGATCGAGGTCTTCCGACCGACTTCCGTCCCTGCGGAGCCTCCAGCGTTCTCGTCGCCGCATGGCAGGGTGCGCCTCGCGCTTCGGATCCAGCGCAACCCGAGAGTACTCGGGGGAGCCCGCCGCAGTTCATCAAGGCTACGGCGGAAGTTGCGAAGAGCCACATTGCACGAAGCTCGAAGGACCAAGGTGCACGGCGCGCCGCGCCGATGCAGTCTTTCATATATATATATATATATACACATTACACATACTTAGTTGCATGCAGAAGAGGGTCTATATATGTATATGTAAAGATAGTAATATACAGAGAGACATGTAGAAATTCGCCGGCCCAACGGGCCAGGGCGTGCTAAGATCTCCGGTACCTGGTTAACAGTATTTCTAGTTCGCGCGCGCGGGGCGGCCCCTGGGGGTCCCCGGACGAAAAGTACCCCGGCAAGGTCCCGGCAAGGTCGGGCCAGAGATGCCGGAGCCCTGTTACAGGGCCCCAGGACGGGCCAAGAGGTCCCCAAGAAGCCTCCAAGACGGTCCAAGAGGGCCCCGAGACGGCCAAAGATCGCCCGAAGACGCCCAACAGGGCCCCAAGACAGCCCAAGAGGCCTCCAAGACGCCCCAAGGGCCTTCCAAGAGGCCTCCGAAGAGGGCCCCAAGAGGCCAAAATCGTTGATTTTCATTGTTTTTTTCGATGTTGTTGCGTTCTGGCTTTTTCGGCTTCCGGACGCTCCAAGACGGCCCAAGAGGCCCCCAAGACCGCTCCAAGACGGCCCACGAGGCTCCCAAGACGGCCCCGGAACGGCCCAGGAGGGCCCCAAGACGGCCCAAGTGCCGCCCAAGACGGACCAAGAGGCCCCAAGACGGCCCAAGAGGGGCTCAAGAGGGGAACCGAGAACTGAAAAATCGAGCCCTCCGCCCCAGAAGGCGCCCAGGAGGCCCCAAAAAGGCCCCAAGAGGCCCCCAAGAGGCCCCCAAGACGCCCCAAGAGGCGCCCAAGAGGCCCAAAAGAGGCCCCAAGAGGCCCCAAAACGGCCCCCAAGAGGCCCCAAAACTCGGCTAGCCCACAACGGTGCGACAATATGGGCCGGCGGAATGAGCGAAGCGATTAAATTCGCCGGCCCAACGGGCCAGGGCGTGCTAAGATCTCCGGTACCTGGTTAACAGTATTTCTAGTTCGCGCGCGCGGGGCGGCCCCTGGGGGTCCCCGGACGAAAAGTACCCCCCCCGACCAAACGCCCGGTCGCGGCAGCCCGCGCCCGACCAAGTCTACTCAGAGATGGTTTTCCTTCTGGGTGCGGCCTCTCAGGCTCCCCCGAGCGCGCTCAGAGTGCCCCAAGAGGCCCCCAAGACTGCCCAAGAGGCCCCCGAGACGCCCAAAGTGCGCTCGAAGACGCCGAAGATGACCCCAAGACGGCCCAAAAGGCCCCCAAGACAGCCCAAGAGGCCTCCAAGACGCCCCAAGAGCCTTCCAAGAGGCCTCCGAAGAGAGCCCCAAGAGGCCAAAATCGTTGATTGTCATTGTTTTTTTCGATGTTTTTTGTGTTCTGGCTTTTTCGGCTTCCGGACGCTCCAAGACGGCCCAAGAGGCCCCCAAGACCGCTCCAAGACGGCCCACGAAGCTCCCAAGACGGCGCCGAACCGACCCAAGAGAGCCCTCAAGACGGCCCAAGTGCCGCCCAAGACGGACCAAGAGGCCCCAAGACGGGCCCAAGAGGGACTCAGGAGGGATACCGAGAACTCAAAAATGGAGCCCTCCGTCCCAGAAGGCGCCCAGGAGGTCCCAAAGAGGCCCCAAGAGGCCTCCAAGAGGCCCCAAGATGTCGCCAAGAGGCCCCAGGAGACTCCCAGGAGGCCCAACAGAAGCCCCAGAAGGCTTCAAACATGTCTCCCAGGCGCCCCCGAACGGCCTCTCAACAGACCCCAAGAGGCCCCCCAAAGAAGCATCTTGACGACGACTCTAATTCGCCCCATCGAGAGACGACCCCCAGGGAACTGCTTCACCATCAAAACTCCCCCCGCAACGCGTCCGAACGACACCCGCCCCCAAGAGCGCAACATGGGCAACGAACACACAGACAAAAACCAGCGATGCCATATCACGGGCCGGCGGAATGAGCGAAGCGATTCAATAAGAGAGAGAGAGAGAGAGGAGAGAGAGAGAGAGAGAGAGAGAGAGAGAAAAAGAGAGAACGAGACAAAGAGAGAGAGAGAGAGGGAGAGAGAGACAGAGCGAGAGCGACAGTGAGAGCAAAAGCGAGAGCGAGCGAGAAGAGAGAACGAAACAGAGAGAGAGAGAGAGAGAGAGCGAGACAAAAAAACAAGAGAGAGAGAAAGAGAGAGAGACAGAGAAAGAGAGAGAGAGAGAGAGAGAGGAGTGAGGTAATAGGGGAGGGAAAGGACGGGCACGGACGGGCAGGGTAGAGGTGGGGGACGAGAGGGGGGGTGAGGGGAGGGGGGGAGAGGAGGAACACGAGGGACGCATGGGAGTAGTATGAGGGGCGGAGGGAGGGAGGCGATTGAGTCTGCCGTCGCTGCGAGGCGACCCTACAAGGGCGGCACGCGCGCCAAACGCGCTGGCCACCGGGAAAGCCTGGGGGGGGAGAGATGGGAACACGGCATTGAGGAAAGATATTAGAAGGGGGCAGGATGAGAGTCTGGATATTAGAAGGGGGCAGGAATGATATTAGGAGGGGGAGAAGGTCATGAGAAGGAGGGATACTAATGATATTCGAAGGGAACAGTCGGTAGAGGAAGAATGATAGGAGGGGCTGAGTAGACATTGCGGCTCATTGGTTCACGAGGCTCGCGAAAGTGGGACCCACCAGAAATTTGCACAATGGTGCCAGAGCGCGTCTTCATAGCAAGGTCGTGGCTGTGCGGCCACGCTTGCGGCAAGTACAGTCAAGCTTGAAGGAATGCTGCTTGAACGACACAGTCCTATGCCCGTCTGCTCTTGCAGGATCGTCTCCTGCTGTGAATGCCACCCTGACCATCCACTACAATTCCGAGCATCGTCCTGCCAAGATTTCCCGCCAAAGAGTTTTTTACGCCATCGCGGCCTGTCAGAACGCCGCGAGGTATGGAGCTACGGCACCAACAACCTCCAGATATCGTCTGGTGGCCCTGGTGTGGAGGCGCCCACCATCCATCTACGTCGAATCACGCTGCGAATAAGAACCTACGCCGCGCGCGCACTCAGCACGACGCGTTCTACAACATAGCCGCCCTGCCGCCTCCCCACGAACAGCTGCTGAGCCAGAACATGGGATGCTCCTCCCTCGAGGGGCAACGTCGGCGGGGGAACAACTCAGGGGGAGGGGAAACACATCCAACTTGAATCGGCGATGCCTCGCCGGTAGATGCGCGAAAGGCCCCCGATAGCGAATGCGCGCGCTCCTGGGCGGGCGGGCTATCGGGCCGCTTTCGGCGATCTTGGGCGATAGGGGGTCGGTGCATCCACCCCTGAGCCTACTCCCCCGCGACGTTGCACCTGAGTCCAAGAAATCCGCGCGGAGCTCCAAAAGTTTATGCGTATGCAGCCTTTTGTTCCTTCATCGATGGTCATCCTCCTCCTCCTCCTCCACCCCTCGAGGTCGACACCCCGACCTCGGGCGCGCCCTGACCCGGCGTCGGGCGTTAGTTAAGGGGGGGGCGATCAATGGGGGGGAAGCGTGCACTTTCTTCTTCTTCTTCTTCTACATCTGCGCAATGCGGGTCGCGCACGCGCTTGCCTTCCTCATACCTCATACCCACAGCCCCTACCGCACAAGCAATTGGCAAATATCTCCACCCCCCACTCAAGTGCAAGTGCCTCAGCCATACATCAAGAAGACCGATGCCCGTGCACATTCCCCTGCCCTGTGAACAAGACGTCCACCTTTCGTGCCCCCTTTCTTCGCCACCCCCGCATTCGGCGTGCCCCCGTTTTACTCGACGCCCGACCTGGGCCGATGGGTCGTGGACCCAGGATCGTTTCTCATCCTGGATCGTTTTTTTTGTCCTGGGTCGTTTCTCGTGGACCGGTGTGGACCGCTTCTTATCCTTGATCGTTTTCGTCCTGGATCGTTTCTCCGGTGTGGGTCGTTGTATCGTTTCTCCTGTGTGGATCGTTCTCGTTCTCTGGTGTGGATCGTTTCTCCGGTGTGGATCGTTTTCATCCTGGATCTTATCCGGTGTGGGTAATTTCTCGTTTCTCGTTTCTCGCTTCTTATCCTGGATCGTTTTTATCCTGGGTCGTTTTCCTTCCTGGACGGGCACCTCGAAGATGGGGGCCTGAGACATGGGCGCCTCTGACCCTCCTCCTCCTCCTCCTCCTCCTCCTCCTCCTCCTCCTCGTTCCCTCGTTGCCCTGACCTCCTCCTGGCCAATGCCAAAGGGGGCCAACACTGTAGGGGGTCGCCACTTCCTGGACCGGTGTGGACCCAGGGGCCCAGGCCAGCTCTCGTCTTGGATCGGTTCTCGTCCTCGCGGGGCCCAGGGGGGGGCCGGGAAGCCGAGGGCGAGGCACCCAAGGACTCCCATGTTCTTCCTGCGACCCTCTCCCTCCTCCTCCTCCTCCTCTCCCTCCTCCTTCTCCTCCTCCTCCTCCTCCTCCTCCCCTCCTCCTCCTCCTCCTCCTCCTCCCTCTCTCCTCCCCATCCTCCCCTCCTCCTCCTCCTCCTCCGCCTCCTCCTCCTCCTGCTCCTACCGGCTGCTCCTGCTGCTCCTCCTCCTCCTCCTCCTCCTCCTCCGCTTCCCTGCTGACTCTTCTCCTTTCTTCCTCCTGCTCCTCCTCCCTCCTCCCTCCCTCCTCTCCCTCCTCCTCCTCCTCCTCCCCTCCTCCTCCTCCTCCTCCTCCGCCTCCTCCTTGTCTCCTTGTCCTCCTTGGGTCCTCCTTGTCCTCCCTTGTCCTCCTTGTCCTCCTTGTCCTCCTCCTCCTCCTCCTCCTCTCCTCCGCCCGACCGGGGATCGGGGTGCACTCCTCCTCCTCCTCCTCCTCCTCCTCCTCCTCCTCCTCCTCCCCTCCTCTCCTCCCTCCTCCTCCTCCTCCTCTCCTCCTCCTCCGCCCTCCTCTCCCTCCTCCTCCCTCCTCCTCCTCCTCCTCCTCCTCCTCCTCCTGCCTCCTTGTCCCTCCTTGTCCCCTCCTTGTCCTCCTTTGTCCTCCTTGTCACTCCTTGTCCTCCTTGTCCTCCTTGTCCTCCTTGTCCTCCTCCTCCTCCTCCTCCTTGTCCTCCTTGTCCTCCTTGTCCTCCTCGTCCTCCTTGTCCTCCTCCTCCTCCTCCTCCTCCTCCTCCGCCTCCTTCTCCTCCTCCTTCCATGCGAATCCCGCCGGAGCGACGATGCGCTTCCGGAGGGTCCGAACGAGAGAAAAACTCAACTGTGGGTCGCATGGAGATCCCGTCGCTCTCCTCGCAACGATCATCGTGCCTCCTCCCTTCAGCGCCCCTCCAAGGGTGACTCCACTAACAAGCGCTGTGGCAAATGGCCTGGCGAACCCAACTCTCCCTGATGTGGACAACGCTGCAGTGCCAGGAAAAAGTCCCGAAGTGACAACTTTCGCCAAATCTGCAAAAGTACCCCTTAATGAGTACCCGTTATGGTGCTGCTGCTCCCTGGCATGAAAGGAAAGGCCGGGGCTCCTGAGGGAAGCGTGTCCTGGACCCCGTGGCTCTTCATCTTGAGCAGTCGTTCACGCTCTCAGGACCAGAAGGGCTCCGAGAGGCTGAGAATGGCGACGGGTGCCCTGTTGTACAGGACCCCCATCCTTCACTCGGCACCTCGAAGATGGGGGCCTGAGACATGGGCGCCTCTGAGCCTCCTCCTCCTCCTTCTCCTCCTTCTCCTCCTTCTCCTCCTCCTCCTCGTTCCCTCGTTCCCCTGACCTCCTCCTGGCCAATGCCAAGGGGGGCCAACACTGTGGGGGGTCGCCACTTCCTCGACGACGCGCCACTTTCCCCAAGAGCCTCCCAGACACGACCCCAAACGTCCAAAAACCTGCTCGAGCTTAGATCCTGAAGTTCGGAGTTCCAGGAGAAACTGGTGACCCCCCCGGTGGTGACCCCCCTTGGCAGTCAGAGGCCTCCCAACTGGGGTCCGAGCAGGTGGGGTCGGAGGGTCGCGCCGCATCGCCGATACACCGCCGATGCATCGGCGTGGGAAAAAATCGGGCTCCACATCGAGCCACATTGCCGATGCATCGGCGATGCTGCCCGATCCTCCGACCCCACCTGCTCGGACCCCATCTGGGCGGCCTCGGGCAGTGTCCGATCGGCTCCCCCCCACTGCCCTTGCCGTCGCTCGGACCTCCACTCCTCGTGCACGCTTCGGCCTCGCGCGTGCTTGCTTCGCAAGATGATCCAGGATTAGGGGGACAAAAAGTGACATAAACATAAAAACTCGGAGGTCCGCGCGGATTTCTCGGATCGGCGCTGGGGCCCCCCAGCGGCGCCTCGGGCGCCGATCCGAGAAATCCGCGCGGACCTCCGAGTCTTTATGTTTATGCCACTTTTTGTTCTCCTAAGGATGCCTCTCGGGGGTCCAGCGGTGCCAAGTCCCCCCCATCCCACGGAGGCCAGCGGCAGGGAGCGCCGCCGACGCCCCCGGGGCGGCGGGCGAGCTCGGCCGCGGCGCGCGCCGCCGCCGCGCCGCTCTCACGCGGGCCGCGCGCAGCAACCGCCGCGGGCCTTGTCCAGGCCGCCCCGGAGCACCACCTGCTCTTTGCGCGGGCGAGGGTGGGCCATGCAGGAACACGGGCCTCGTCACGTCCCTCCGCCCATTCCTCCTCTTCCTCCTCGTCCTCCCCCTCTCCTCCTCCTCGTCCTCGTCCTCGTCCTCCTCCTCCTCCTCCTCCTCCTCCTCCTCCATCTCCTCCTCCTGCCTCCTCCTCCTCCTCCTCCTCTCTCCTCCTCCTCCTCCTCCTCGTCCTCCATCTCCTCCTCCTCCTCTCCTCCTCCTCCTCCTCCTCCTCATCTCCTCCTCCTCCTCGTCCTCCTCCTCCTCCTCCTCCTCCTCCTGCTGCGGCTCCTCCTCTTCCTCCTCCTCCTCCTCTTCCTCCTCCTCCTCCTCCTCCTTCTCGGTCGATCCGCATCACGTGACTGATCCAAGTTGCCGACAATAAGGCCCTCTGATCTACTATACACATCCTCCGCCCCTTGTCGGGCGCACGCTAACGTGGATTAAGGATACGCGGATCTGGCGCACGGATCGCGGAAGGCACCCTCCCGAAACTGAAGCCAATGTCGCCTGATTTGGCGACGGCACGCGTCGAACACGTGTGGAAGCGGGACTCGTCGCTAATGCACGCGCCCGAATCCATGCTCACGTTTTCCCGCGACATGGCGACGAGACCTATACTGATCCACCCCCCCTGGCCAGGCCCATCCTGGGCTCAGGAGCGACGTATGCATTCCCATGGCTTGGTCAGGGAGGCAAGTGCACCGCTCCGCGGTGCATGTGCATAGAACTCGTTGCCAGATGCTACTTTTTGTCGGCAGGGGCAAGCCAAACACAGCAAACGGGGAGCTAGTTGCCAGATGCCACGGGGAGCCTGGACATCCTCGCGCGGCGACAGAAGCCAGGACGGAGAGCTTGTGGCAGTCTTGGGTCTCCGGGGTGGCCGTGTCGTACCTGGTCCCCGAGTCCGTGCGGGCGGGTGGCAATGGGGGGTGCCCGAAATTGTGGGTGGAAAAAAACGCTCCAAAAGGGTTTTTCTTCACCCTCCATGTAACTCACCCCCCACTACCACCCGCCCGATCCGCAGAAAAACGGCTCGTGATGTAGAGCCCGTCTCCTGGGACGAGGTCCAGACCTCGGGTCTGGGGAACCACGCTGCGAAACAGAACACGACGTCGGCTGTCTGGGATGGCGAGGGCGAGGCGGAGGCGAGGCGGGGGGGGTGAGGACGAGGGGACTTAGAGGTTCCTGTCAAATTCCTCTCGTGGCCGTCGTCGTGCTCCCTTCCCCGGTCTCGCCCATGTTCTTTCTCCTCTTCGGGCTCCCTGACCCGGAGTGTGCCTGTGCAACCCTTGCACTGATGGGGAACGGCTCCCCTTCAAGCTGGGGCTCTCGCTGTACACCTCGCTGAAAGTTCCAGTCTTTCGGTCGTGTTCCGTAGAAGTCGCCAGAAGGATGCAAGGCAGGAGGAGGAGGAGGAGGAGGAGGAGGAGGAGGAGGAGGAGGAGGGAGGAGAAGGGAGGAGGAGAAGGGGAGGAGGAGGAGGAGAAGGGAGGAGGAGGCGGAAGGAGGGAAGGAGGAGAGGTGAAGGAGAGGAGGAGGAGGAGGAGGAGGAGGAGGAGGAGGAGGAATCTCTTCGGGCGGGCCCTCTCGCTGGGTGGCAGGCTGACAAGGGTGGCCGGCTTTCCGAGAGGGGCGCTTCTCCGTGGTGAAGAGAAGGCAAAGGCGTGAAGTGACTCATGAGGAGGGGGGGGGGGCTAGGACGGGGAGGGGTGCCAAGGAACAACCAGAAAACTCTTTCACAACTCTCAACCCACCCTGTCACGTCACTACTCGTTCCTCGGTTCCCTCGGCTCTCCTTTCCCCCCCCTTCCCCTTCCCCCTTCCCTCATTCCTCTCTCGGCCACAATCTGTCTTGATAGCAATAGGCGGAACAGGCGGCAACCAGTTCAGTACTCGTAGTCGATGATGCAGCCAAAGCTGCAAGGTCGATATCACCAGTACCCTTGTCCCACACTAGATATTGGCAGGTTTGAGCTTCTTGGCACCATCGAAGCAGAGGAATTCAACGACAACTCGATCATAATCTCCTCCACATGCAATCCCACAGTGTATCACAGCATCTTTGATGCACTGTGGGCTTACGTTGGTTTCCCATATTCCTCCTCTTCTTCCTCCTCCTCCCACCCCTCTGCGGTTATCCTCTCCCTGGCTTCTTCTTCTTCTTCTTCCTCCTCCTCCTCCTCCTCCTAAAGAGTCGGCCCGGGTGGCCGCCTCATGAAGAAGCGGCAAAAAGGCGCTAGCGGCAGACGGCAGACGATCTGCTTACGTAGTATTCTAGACCTCGCACCCGACAGCAAAGAAACATGGTGGGTGCACAGTTGTCAATTGTCGTTTTTCTTCTCCTTATTATTATTGTTGTTCTTATTATTCGTATCAGTATTATTAGTAGTATTATTATTATGATTATTATTATGCTTCTTAATATGCTTATCTATATTATTGTTATTGTTATTAGTATTAGTATCAGTATTATGCGCATTCATATGTTTATCAGTATTATTATTGTTTCTCTTCCTCCTCCTCCTCATCATCCTCCTCGGCCTCCAATGCTTCTACTTTCCCAAGGTATGACAGAAGCGCAACAGCGTGGATTGGCAGGACGGGCCGCAGCAAGAGAAACCCGCTCCTCGGCCCGAATCCTTCTGGCGCGCTCATAGGCGTCCTGGGGCGGAGTGCAGCGTATGGGGGGAGCCAGGGAGAAGGATGGAGGGATGGAGGAGGAGGAGGAGGAGGAGGAGGAGGAGGAGGAGGAGGAGGAGGAGGAGGAGGAGGAGGAGGAGGAGGAGCGGGCATGGAGGAGGAGAGGAGTGAGGGAACAGGGAAGAAAAGGCAGGGTAGGGGGGACGAGAGGAGGGGATGAGAGGGCGGGGGGGCAGGATGCTCCCGGCTGCTTCTGGCAACTGCTGCGTTGCCTTCGGCAGTTCAGGGAGGCGTGGGGGCAGGGCGGGGGAATCGGGGAGGCTGGCTCGAGGCCCCGGAGCGCGCATCGACACCTCTGGGCCGGGGCCACGGGAGACGCCCCGCTCCAGGCGGCGGGGAGCTCACGGCGGCGCCCTCCGGGCTCCTGCGTGCGTGCCCCCCCTGCCGCCGCGTCCGGGCAACGCTCTGGCGCAGCGCCGTGGTGCCGCGGCGGGAGCCTCACGCCCGTGCAGTCACGCGCCGTGGCCCCGCGGTCTGGCAGAGGGGGGCGTGGTGCCGAAAGCCGCCAGCCTGCAAACGGCCACGGCGTCGGGCCTGGAAGGGCTTCCAAAATGCCAGCCACTTCGCCGCAGCGCAACAGTTGAAGGCGCCCCGGGGATCTGTGTAGACGCCGCAGACTTTTGTAGACGTGATCCTGGCCGTGAGAATGCGCAGCAGTCGCGCGCTTGGAGCCCCCTGGCGTCTACCACAAACTCTTGCCGACGCCAGGACGTAGCTGTAGACAAATTCTGGCCATCGCTCGGACGTCCATGCCCTGTGTTTT